TCCAACTTCTATAGCTAGGTACACTTCTCGATTTCATGTACCAGCACATACAACCCCACAATGACCTTCCCCAACGTCAATGTTGAATCTTGGTTTCTACAATATATTATGGTTATGGTTTTACAAAATGCAAGTGCTTGACGCCCACAAACACGCCAAGTACTTGAACATCAAAGTATAAAGGCCTGCCTTGAGGCATCCCATTGCATACTAATTATTGCGGGAAATGGGCCACGGGGATTCACCCACCCATGTATCCGTCCGCATGTCCTTCCTCATCCCCCACCTGCAGTGCTTCCTTCACGACGCCCACGAAACGTTCCGCATCACCGAGGCCCTCTGCATGGCCTAGCGTGTTCGCGTAGGCGCACGGCAAGACCAGACCGACATGGTTAACCAAACTGCCCTCCAGGTGGAAATACGTCACGCATGTTCAATTCATGTGCAATTCGTATTCACTCAATGTTCACTTTAGCAAGACGTGGCGGTTGGCGTGACTTTGCAGACTGCTGAAATCCAAAAAGTCCTGCCGGTTCGCGCCTAGGTCGCGGTAGATCGCTTGGGACATCTCCGCAGAACCTGTTGCGCGCAGACGCGCGGATCACAAGCACAATGAGCCATGGCAGGTGTGGTTCAAAGCAAACTACATTAGAGCTACATAAGGCTGCTTCTGGCTTCAAAAAAGCTGCTTTTCTACCATCTTTGGAGGAATGTTGGCTCTCGTGTGCATCATGATTCATCGTCCCAGTCGAGGAAATCCTGATGCTTCAGTGCCAGGGTCCCCCACGCAAGGCATCGTGCAGCTGCTGGCAGCTTGCAAGGGCACTCGCTGAGACCAAAAGCGCGTTCGCCTGCAGATCTTCATGCAACCAGGCAGGCTGCTTCAACCGAAGTGGCACCTCCCCCCCATCAAAAAATCACGAAAAGGCATCTGCTGTCTTTTCCAAACTCCTTCACCGCCAATTCACCCAAATGTCCGTGGACTCGGATTGTCCAAGATAGTTGGCGGATCGCTGGAGGCCGAGACTCCCAGGGCCCATCTGAGCCCAGCTGGGCAAGTCTGGTGTGTTTCAGAAAAGGCATGCAACATGGGTCACAGGAGGCATCAGGGTGAGACACATGGAGGTTGGACACCAGATTCTTTGGTGAAGCAAGGTGTGGGTGTCTTCTTTTCTGCAAAGATGGTTTACATATAGGCCAGTTCCGTCCCCAAAAACATATAGGAAAAACGGGAGAAAAAAGAACAGGTGCTTTCAGGTCTGGTCCTCTTTAAGTACTCTCTTTCTCTTTCCCAAAAATCCAAAAAACTGGCCCGGTGGGGTGGAGCCATGGATTCTCACACTCTCAGGTCGTGCAAAAGCTGGAGTGATGGCACGATCTAAGCACCTAACTGACGCAGTGGACGAAAAGGGCCCAGCGAAAACAATATGCGTTAGTATCATGTCGAATAAGGAATATCTATCTTTGCAATGCTCCCAAAGAGGAAAACAAGAGACAAACACAGCCGCAACGAAAAGTTTGGAAGTCCCTGAGGGGTCTCTTAATTACCACAGGGGTTTGTTAGAGACACATCTTGACCTTCTTCTTTGCAATACCACAGAATGGTCGATGACTTGTTCGGAATATGTGGACGGAATGGAAATATGCCCGAGCCGAGCCAGTCAAAATGTCCAAAACGGGCCGACCTCACACCCCGTCACTTTAGGCTCACTGGCCAAGAATGCCACGTTGGCTCATGTTCAGAGCACTCCGCTCATGTTCATAGATTCTTGATTAATAAAACTCCCCTCAATGTTGGATCGTAAAACCTATGGAGGGTGAAGTATGATCGATCAAGACTCTGCATTTTTTTGGGGTCCCCCGGTCCTCCGATCTGGCAGACACACCGCTGTCACCGGTCAACGTTTTTCATGGCGCCTCTGCCGGCTTGTCCCTGGCCTCGAGCTCCGACTTCCGACAGCTCTGCTGATGTCGCGTTTCCCCCGGCGGAACGCTTCGTGTTTGAGCTTGCTAAAACATGCAAAAACCAGAGTCCCCCTCGGAAAAATTGCCCAAAGAAGCCCCATTCTTTTGGGGGCTTCTCCAGCACTGGCTCCCTCGGACAGAGACCTACACCGACCGCCGGAGGTCCGTACCTCCGCACCGATCCCTCAGACACCAGGTGCTACGATACGTCGGCGTCGGCGAGGTCACACGTTGATGCCTCCCGCAATGCTGCCCAAGTGAGAAGCGTGTTGCCGGCAATTTGAAGCAGGGAATGTAAGTATGCAAACTTGTCGCTGGATTGAAGAGTGATTCGGTCACATTGTCAAAGTGCCCCAGATCTTGGGTTTCTGCAGTTGGAGTGCACTGGTAGCATGTACACCAATGTAGCAACACAACCAGCAACAAAAGGGTGTA